TGGCGAACACAGTTCTTGCAGAACCACAGCATCTTCTGTGGCCTGGTGATGTGGTTCTAACCTCTCAGCTACACACTCTACACACGGGAGTACACACCATCATCTAGCCTGGGGGTGCGTCTAGTGCTGACACAGTAGATGACCTGCTGGAAACTGTTCCACCCTCAGAAGCAGAGCCACTCCAGACAAAGCTGTTTCCCCAGTTAAGCAAAACACTCCAAATGTTGAAAGTGCTTGCCCGTACACTATTTTAATAATACACACACGCGTGCATGCGTGCATGTGTGTGTGCGTGTGTGTGTGTGTGTGTGTGTGTGTGCTTTGAAAGACTGATATCTGATATCTGTTTCTTTCTCTTTTTTTAAAAGATTTATTTATTATGTATACAGTATTCTGTTTGTGTGTGTGTGTGCTTTGAAAGACTGATATCTGATATCTGTTTCTTTCTTTTTTTTTTTTAAAGATTTATTTATTATGTATACAGTATTCTGTTTGCATGTATACCTGCAGGCCAGAAGAGGGCACAAAATCTCATCACAGATGGTTGTGAGCCACCATGTGGTTGCTGGGAATTGAACTCAAGGCTTCTGGAAGAGCAGCCAGTGCTCTGAACCTCTGAGCCATCTCTCCAACCCTGATATCTGTTTCTAAAAAACACCCACCTATATTATTGGGCCATGGCAACACAACTTAATTCCCTTTCAAACCTTTCTGCCATGCAAACACATACATGGTAATACTTTCTCTCCCAGTGTAAACATTTTTGGGGAGATGACTTCTCCCCTGAAGCTGTACCTAATATAGTCTAAGCTGCCCCAAGATAGGGAAGGCTGGAGGAGGTGGGGCCACAGATATATCTCACTCTGGCCAGCTGGGCATTTCTGCAAAATGGCAATGTGAAAGAAGCTAAAACTGAGAATCAACCCAAATAACATGCACAATCCCTTCCAAGTCCCTGCAATCAAACTCTGAAGTTAAATGGCATTATCAACAGCTGGAAAGAAAAACCAGCATGCTTTTCATACTGTGACTACATGTGTGCTGAACTCGGCGCGTGCGTGGCACATGTTTGCATGCATGTGGGTTTCACATATCTCATTAACTCTGGGTCATACCTGCCACTGGTTTCCAGTCTGTGCAGGCACATAAGGTCCTGGCAGACTCCGAAGGCTGTTCTTCACAGGGGATCCCCCAAGGGGATTTCCCACATCCCCAGAGGAAGACTCAGCAGACAGGGCCATGGAGTACTGCGGGTAGTTGTACAGATTGTTGTAGTAAGGAAACAGAGATGGCTGGTAAAAGCTGCTGTAGTAGGCGGGGTCTGACACCAAGTCAGGTGTGTTCTCTGCATGCCCTCTGCTGGTGACAGCAGGAATATCCTGGATGACCATGCGTCCCTCTAAAAAGAGAGAGAAAAAAGACTTAATGTAAGATTTAATGTAGGGGGTCCACAAATCTTGCCCTCTAAACCTTGGCTACGCCTGAAAGATCACCCTCAAGATGAGCAAAGAACCTGGAAATGCAAGGGAGAAATCATCGCTGTTGCTTTAACCACAAGGCGAGCGCTCCAAGGCTGGCATCCTGCTGGTGGCACAGCCGAAAGACCCTGGGCCACATTGTCTTCACTGGGAATACCAAATGATTTTGGAAGTGGACTAAATGACATAAAGCCTGACAGTGCAACCTCAACACACCCCACTCAAATGCCAAGAAACCGAGATCATATCCAGTTAGCCTGTCTACAAATTCTTACCACGTGATAAAGTGACTGTCACCCCAAGAACTTAGTGAGAGGCTGTTTGCACACACACTGTTTCCTTTATGTCCTTCCAGGGTGGACACTGTATTCTTTAGTATGAACCAGAATTTGGACCAGGAATAGACCAACTTGTTCTGCAAAAGAACAGTTAGCACTACTTGAACTTTCATGAACCAGCCAATCAATGCTGTGCTGCAATAAAGCTTTTTCACACAATTGAGAAGAGATTTGGTTTTGCCCCCAAAGAGTAAATTAGCCAGCCTGTCGCATTCATCAGGATCTGCCAAGAATCTAGAGATTCAGGTGACAAACCATCTGCTGATTCTTCAGCTGAAATGGAAGAGGGTTTCAACTGTATCCTGTCCATATAAGAGACTGGACAAATGCCTCTGGCCTCCATCCAATGGACATTAACTCAAACAATGTTCTAAGAGATGAGCCACCGCCCTGAAATGGCCAGGAGCATCCCCTGTACAACCTACAGGGAGCCTGCAGTGCAGGGTGAAAGCTGCGGTGGGGTTTCCATCATACTCCCACCCAGCATAACAGCAACGCCTGTACACTACTATGGAAACTCAGAGGAAGGAAAGATTAACTTGCAGTTTAGAGAAGAATTTGACCTTTGCAGGAAAAAAAAATTTTGTGCCCCACCCTGGAAAAGGAAGGCGAGAGCTGAGGGCAGGGCTGACTGGTGAGGCCCAGGGTTCAATCCCTAGCAGAGGCGGAGGCGGGGGCAGGGCGGTGAGTAAAATATAAGGTGGGAAATGAGACGGAGAAAAGAACATGGACAAAGAAATAAAGGCAGACGATAGAGTGGCAGGTAAGGTATCAGGCAAAGGACAGGATAAAGACGGGGACAGATTGGGCTGAAAGGTAGACTGGAGCCAAGCCTGGGAAGTCTTTATCTAATTCTCAAGATGGGATGTAATAGGAACCAATAAAGATTTCTGAGCTGGAAGGTTAGTGGACGGAGTTGTGCTATGGGAGCTCCACCTGATGGAAATTCTTGGAAAAAGTGAAGGAAAGATGAGAAAGACCAACTAGGGAACAACACAAGGTCAGACAGAGACCATGTTAGGTTACAAGTGTCGGGGTAGCCAGACACAGAGACTTGTGGGATATGAAAACATAAAGAAGCAGAGGAAGATGAGACAGCAGGACTGAAGACAAAGGGGAGATGGAGAGCAGGAGTCTGGGTGTGCTCTGTCTAATGCAGACACTGGACACTGAGTGAAAGTAAGGAGCTTGAGACTTCCTGGGAACCACGGAGGCTGGAAGCTGAGATCTGGAATCACCACCCAGCAATGGCTACATCTGGGGAATGGGATGGCGCTAAGGCCCAAAGTGAAGAAAGCAACTTCTACTCCACAAAAGCCAAAGGTGAGTGACACAGATTGCAGAGGGTTCAGCTGCAGTGTCAGCCCACACTCAGCAACCACACAAATCCAGAACTGGTCAAGATAGGAAGACAGGATTTTCTGTTGTGATGTAAAGGAAGCAATAGCATCTGGCCTGCTAAACAGCTTGAAGCAAGCAAGCAAGCAGAGATGGATGATGGCTTCAAATAGCCAGATGATCCTGAAAGGAGCTCCAGTTCTGCAGGCTGCCACATGCCCCCTGTGTCTAGCATAAAATACCAGACCTTGAGCAGTAAGTGTTTCTAACGAAAGAAAGCAATCAACAATGGTGTTTTAAGTAGCATAAATATGAGGTAAAAACTAAAGCTCCAAGAACCACAGCTCTTGCTACTTGATAGTTACTACACAGAGAAGGGTCCAGAATACCAAAGCATGTAGAAGCAGCCAGCATGATGTGTGGTCCAAAAGCACTCAGGGGATGGTCCTGGGTACATGTGTGGAAGGAGGAAGAGAAAACATCCAAGGGAGGGTGTGTGCACTCAAAGGGTGTGTACGTGTGTGTGTGTGTGTGTGTGTGTGTGTGTGTGTGTTTGTGTGTACGTGTGTGTACATGTGTGTCTCTCTGTGTGTTTGTGTGTGTCTCTATGTGTTTGTGTGTGTGTGTCTCTCTCTGTGTGTGTTTG